TAGCAGACTTTCTAGTTATTATTCTTTTTTTCTGCAGAAATTTTGTGCCGACGATTCCTCAGAGATTTTTCGATAGATTTGTTTCAAATTTTCAGGGTTGGTGCACAATTATCTGAAGTTAATTCCGGCCGAAGGATTTTTTGAAAATCACTTCCGGTCTAGAGTTATCGCCCTTTTCTTAAAATTCAGATGACCTCCGTGTCTGTGACAGAACTCAATAACGGCTCAAGCTAGAGCGCTGAAATTTTCAGTGATAATAGAGGACATGTTGCCATGTTGCACCTGGGTCAGGAAATTTTCCGGAAGATTCTAGTATGGAAGCTCGGTAGGGGTCAAAATTTAGGACACGAATCATGACTGATTTTTTAAAACATTTTGCTTCATATCTTTTAAAGTATAATTATTTTGTTAAAACATACTGAGCATCAATTGTGCCAAACATCGAGATCTTTCATATTACACCAAGAAAAAAGCGCTGACTCATCACATTAAGGGCAAAAAGGGGCCAAAAGTCTTTAATCGATAACTCTTTAACAATCAATATTTTGGTATATATTACTGAACAAAAAATGTTGAGCTTAACAATCTACAACCATATATTATGATATTCATATCATGTGGTACATAATTAGGGGCCACAAGGGGCCAGAATGCTAAATCTTTGATGCTTTATATCTCGAAAGGGAGAAATATTTTGATAAGCAATATTGAACAAAATATGTTCAAAATAATGTTTTAAACAATATGCAATTTTTCATTTTTTGCTTAACGGCCCCATTAAGGAGTTGAAGGGTTGGCCCCTAAATATTTCTTTTGCTTATAGCTCAAAAACGAATTAGAATTTCTGAACAATTATTGAACACAAAATGTTCAAAATCTTAAGACCTTCAAGATGAGATCCCAAAATAAGGGCTGGGCACTCGAATTAGGGGCCAAAAGGGGCCAAAAGTCTTTTTTCAATAACTCTTTATCAGTTAATATTTTGTAATACATTTCTGAAGCAAAGATGTTAATCTCAACCATTTCCAACTATATATTATGATTTTCATGTCGTATGGTACATGATTAGGGGCCAAAAGGGGCCAGAATGCTAAATCTTTGATGCTTTATATCTTGAAAGGGAGAAATATTTTGATAAGTGATATTGAAAAATAGATGTTCAAAATCATGTTCTGAACAATATGAACCTTTCATTTTTTTGCTAAGCGTCCCCATTAAGGAGTTCAAGGGTTGGCCCCTAAATATTTCTTTTGCTTATAATTCAAAAATGGAAAAGAATTTCTAAATAGTAATTGAACAAAAAATGTTCAAGATCTTAAGACCTTCAAGAAGAGATCCCGAAAAAGGGGCTGGGCACTCGAATTAGGGGCCAAGAAGGGCAAAATGTCTTTTTTCAATAACTCTTTATCAGTTAATATTTAATAATACAATACTGAAGCAAAGATCTTTATATCAACCATCTTCAACTATAAAATATGTTTTTTATGTCGTATGGTACATAATTAGGGGCTATAAGGGGCCAGAATGCTTAATCTTTAATGCTTCATATCTCGAAACGGAGAAATATTTTGATAAGCAATATTGAACAAAAGATGTTCAAAATCATGTTCTGAACAATATGCAACCTTTCATTTTTTGCTAAGCGTCCCCATTAAGGAGTTCAAGGGTTGGCCCCTAAATATTTCTTTTGCTTATAGTTCAAAAATGGAAAAGAATTTCTGAAAAGATATTCAACAAAAAATGTTCAAAATCTTAAGATCTTTCAGATGAGATCTCAAAATAGGGGCTTCGCACTCGAATTAGGGGCTGAGAGGGGCCAAAAGTCTTTATTGGATAACTCTTTATTAGTTTATATTTTGTAATACATTACTGAAGCAAAGATGTTTATCTCAACCGTCTACAACTATATATTATGATTTTTATGTCGCATGGTACATAATTAGGGGCCACAAGGGGCCAGAATGCTAAATCTTTGATGCTTTATATCTCGAAAGGGAGAAATATTTTGATAAGCATAAAGATTTTCAAAATAATGTTCTGAACAATATGCAACCTTTCATTTTTTGCTAAACATCCCCATTGAGGAGTTGAAGGGTTGCCCCTTAAATATTTCTTTTGCTTATTTCTCAAAAACGAAAATAAATTTTTGAATAGTTGTTGAACAAAAAAACTTCAAAATCTTAAGAGCTTTAAGATGATATGAAAACAGAGGGCCGATTCCCAAAATTAGGGGCTGTGAGGGGCAAAATGCCGATTTTTTAAAGTCTTTAATGTTCAATGTCTTTTTACAGATTGTGGTAAATCATTATTTTAGAATGAAAATCTCATTCAAAATCTTATCTCATCTCAACAAGAATCGAACGGAAGACCCACTCGTTGTTCACAACGAGATCGTATCTAGTTTTTCTTCTTCTTCTTCCTGGAACTTTTTTGTCCGGGAATGATCTTGTAAACTATTAGTCCGATGTAGGTAAAACCTTTTTAGGGTTAGTAGACATGTTATGTAGATTTGCGGAATCAAGGTCATTTTGCGCGCACGTGCTTGCAAGAGCGTGCACGTGCAACACGTGAAATGACCAATATAATAGATATAGCCACAACTGTTCTATTTTTGGATGAAATGCTTTGAAACTCATAATGTGAGGATATATTAGTAGTATAGACATGACGACATGGTGAAAATAGGAAGATCTCACGCGCATGCACGTGCACTTCGCTCTGATTGGCTGCAACTAAAGTCTCAATATCTTTCTTGTTTTTTGACGAAATCCTTTGAAATTTTGAACATAGCCATGTATTAGGATATCCTACAACAAGAAATAAAGCAATTATCATGAAAACACGTGCATGCACGTGCGCTGCAATCTGATTGGCTGGAACTTTAAACAGCTATATCTCCCTTGGTTTTCAACCAAACAGGATGGGATTTGGAACATAGATAGATATAATGGACTTCTACAAGTAGGTATGCTCATCATGCACATACATACACGTGTGTGTACAAGTGCTGCAATCTGATTGTCTGAAACTTTAAATAGCTATAACTCTCTTAGTTTTCACCCAAACGGGGTGGAATTTAGAACATAGATAGATGTAATGGACTTCTACAAGAAGGTATGGTCACCATGCTCATGTATGCACGTGCGTTCACGTGAAATGAGTAAAATCAAACATACACTTGAATGAGCGTATTTTATTAATAATTTTGGATTAGATACTTTAATAGATTGTGCAGACAAGATGATAAGGTCATGACGCAAATGCATTCACATGTGCACGCGTGAAATGCTAAAGTTTAAATGATTTTTGTACACTTCTTTGTAAATGTTGTTAAAATCTCAGATGCATAGAGTTTGTCTTATTTAATGAAGCTTACAGGGAATATGGCACCAAAAGGGAGTTGGGGAGCGTTTGGGGAACATCTGTAACGGTCCCCGTTACAATTAGCACTAGTTTGTAATGGTTCCCAGTGTAGATCTTGAAGCATCTGGGTAACACTGCCAGGTTGGTTATCGTGGTTGTTTTTGGTGGCAAAATGTGCTGCTCTTCTTTGCACTTTCTCAATTTAAGCTTTTGGACTTGCTTGGAGCTCCAGGGATCCCATGCTGCACAGGCGTAAAACTATTCTAGAATCGGTCGAACTATTCCAAGGTATGCTGCAGATCTTGCAGATGTCCGACATCCCCTCATATTCCGCCTGATGAAGCCCAGTGTCTTGTTGGCTTTGGATGTAATGTTGTTTATGTGGTTGTCCCATCGTAGATCTTTACTAACGGTGACTCCAAGGTATTTGCTGGAATCATGAACCACATCTAGGAGGTGCCCATTTATAGAGTAAGAAGCCGTGATGGGTTTATTTCCGCTTGTTGGTAATTTGTATTACTACACATTTTTCTGGGTGGAATGCCATCTGCCAGTCCTTCTCCCATCTGGTCAAAGAATCAAGATCCTTCTGCAAGGTAACTGCATCATCCTTATTTGTAATGGGTCTGCATAGGAGACAGTCATCTGCAAAAAGGCGAGTATCTGACAGTGTCCTTTCAGGTAGGTCGTTAATGTAGAGGAGGAACAGTAAAGGTCCTAGGACTGTCTCTTGCGGCACTCCTGGCACCACTGGTGCAGTTGAGGAAGTATGGCCCTCTAGAAGCAATTGCTGTGCCCTAGCTATCTGTTAGTAAGTCTGTAATAGAGGTGCCTCGTACCTCGTAGTTAGTTCAGCTTATGAGCTAGCCGCTGGTGGGGGACCTTATCATAGGCTTTAGAGAAGTAAAGCAGGATAATGTCTACTTGACCTTTTTCTCTTAGATTCTGGGCTAGACTGTTTATGGTGGACATCAACTGAATTTCACAGCTCGGGAACGCTTAGAGCGGAATCCATCCCATGTTGACTGTCTGAGAGGATGGAATTCTCATCTAGATGGTCCATGAATTGGCTATGTATAATGTGTTCTAGGGGTTTACAAGGGATAGATGTTAAAGATACAGCTAGTGAAGTCGATAGATCGAAGCTAAATGTTTATCCCCTTTCTTGAAAATTGGAACAATACTTGCCCGTCGCCCGTCGCCAGTCGCCTGGAATTTGTATAAGTTTTAGATACCGCCATAATTTATTTACTAGTACATAATTGCAACTTCTTAATTTTTAAACATATCAAAAACAGGGATATTTATCCTTTTTGGAGTAACATTAATAAATGCCCCACGGCCAGTTCTATTTTTCCTATTTTATGTCCTTGGCTGCATGTAATCCGGCCCACCATCCCTAATGGTGTTCTTGGTAAAGCAAATAATTGACCTTCCGTTAATTATAAATAAATAATAAGTAATTTGTTCTTAATTGGTTTGAAAATAAATTATAATCTAACTCGAAATATTTATACAGGCCCACTCTTGCAATGTTCTCCTCCTTACGACTTGGTTCAGGTACGTGTTGACATTTCAATTCGAAATTGAAATGCTCGGAATTCCTCGTGATTTTACCTTTAAATTTTTGTAAGAGTCAGTTTGACATCAAAATAATGCCACTTCCAGCGGCTTTGCTAGCAAAACTAAAGAAAAGAGGGATTGTTACCGAGGAGCAAAGTAAACGTGGTGAGTATTTTCTAATAATACACCGTACAAAAGCATATAATTTCGTAATAATTGGAGATAATGCCATGCAGGTACATCTCGAATTTCCTCTGTAACATTATGCTCCATTTGATTTCTCTGTTTGTTGAGATGAGTTGTTAACTTTTCAGTTGAGGAAGTAGAGGAGGTTTTTGCCGAGGATTACGATGATCCGATCAAAGAAAACACAGCTCCCCCGGTCACAGAGCAGGAGATGGATACGTCACATGACCAGACCAAGCCCCTGGTGTACGACGTCTCAGCCTGCCCTAACAGGTATCATTCTTACTTATTGACGGTCTTAGTTCGTAAATATACTTATCAATGTTGAGAAATTACTACGTAGTTTTATGAAAATATAAAATGCGGTCAGTGTAAATGTAGACTTTGATGTTATGTGTGTTTCATCTCGTGTTACTTTCACTTCAGTAATTGAGTCAAAGTGCAAATTTTTAAAACAAGGTTGTAAATGTACTAGCTGCTGTACTGTAGTTCTCCAAGAAAAATGTATTGACAGACCGGACAGCTACAGTGCCACCAATTGAAAAAACTGTTTAATTATTGCGCACAAAAATTTGCATTTCGTTCAGGATTAATTCTTCCAAATTCTTAACCCAATAGATAGATTAATAAATATGATAAATGTTTCTTACTCCTCTTTGACGTACTCTCGTAGTTGACATCTGCACGAAGTGCGTTGGACCAAATTATCTTGCAAACCAAAAAAGCAGTATAGATAGACAAAATTTTCGGTAGTCTCAATTTCTGGACCAGGAGGGCTATTAACAACAAATATAAGTAATGTTTTGTTGTGGAAACAGTGAAAGAGTTTGTTAGAAATACACGATAAGTTATATTTAAGGAATGTTTTTAAGGACCCTCTCTACACTAGTGCAAATTTTTTTAGGGGACATTGAGAAAAATATATTGTATAAAGGAGTTAATACTGAGCTTATTTATTTAATTTTCACAGTATGGTGCGTGGCATTTACCACCGGGAAAAATGTTCAAAGACAACCAATATCACTGAATAGAAATTGCTGTTAATTGCTTCAGTAGAGAAAATACATGTAAATAACAGGTTTAGTTAATTTATCTTGGCCCTTTAAAATGTTCAGAATAGTAAAATTAATTACAAATTGAGTAATACATTGTATATTTCTTTTTTTATGCCCCCCTTCGAAGAAGGGAGGGCATATTGCTTTGCTGCTGTCTGTCGGTCGGTCTGTCGGTCCGTCGGTCTGTCGGTCCATTTAGTTTCCGTTCATTTTCTTCATAACCTTTGCCCATACTGAAATCAAATTTGGTATACAGATTTATCACATGAATATCTGGGTCAAGTTCTGTTTTGGGTACGATCGCACCATTTTTGACAGAGTTATGCCCCTTGGAAAAATTTCAATTATTTGCAATTTCCGCTCATTTTCTTTGCAAACATTGCACATACTGAAATCAAATTTGGTATACAGATATATCACATGAATATCTAGGTCAAGTTCTGTTTTGGGTAAGATCGCACCATTTTTGACAGAGTTATGCCCCTTGGACTTGGAAAAATTTCAATTATTTGCAGTTTCCGCTCATTTTCTTTGCAATTGTTGCACATACTGAAATCAAATTTGGTATACAGATATATCACATGAATATCTCGGGCAAGTTTTGTTTTGGGTAAGATCGCACCATTTTTGACAGAGTTATGCCCCTTAGAGTTTGAAAAAATTCAATTATTTGCAGTTTCCGTTCATTTTCTTTGCAACCATTACACATACCGAGATGAAATTTAATATACAGATTAATCAGATGAATATCTAGGTCAAGTTCTGTTTTGGGTACAATTGTGCCATTTTTGACAGAGTTATGCCCCTTGAACTTACAAAAAAATTCCAATTTGGGGGGATGGGGGCATAAGTGTTTTACAAACATCTCTTGTTAGAATTTAGATCTAAGGGCTGATCACTCTAACTGCAGAAAAATACCTTAGAATCAGAACTCTTTAGTGTGCAGTGTAGAGAGGGTTCTTAAGTTTTGTGTGAGTTATTGGTGTGTGAATCACACAGACTTGTCACGTAGGCATATTTCATGAAGCACGCTAGCGCTTCTTGAAAAATATGCCTACGTGCAAGACTGAAAAACATTCCATATATTTTCATTTAACATGTTTGGAAGCAACTAAAATATACTCAATATTTGAATTTTTCGCTGTCCTATATCACTGCATTTTACCAACGTCACTGCAGCCTCATTGTGACGTCACATTAACGCACGTTTCTCCGTGTATATTTCTACGCGTGAGTATACACGAAAATGATTTTCAAATCAATTTCACAGTTGGCTTAGTAGAAAAACACAGCAAATGTAAATATTTTGGGATGACAGTTTAAAAACATGGAGAAATAAGTTGAGAAACAGAACAATTTTTTGTGAGTTATAAATATACAGTTTTTTCACTGGCTGGCACTGTAGCTCTCTGTCAATATATATTTTTTTTTTTGGAGAGCTACAGTTCTGCAGCTATAAATCAACATGAAATGTAGAAGAAGGGAAGGCATGTTCCTTTGCTGCTGTCTGTCGGTTGTTCAATTTGGTGGGCGATCATCACTTTCAGTTTATTTTCTTCACAGAGATTGCACATATTGAAATGAAATTTATTAGGCTTATACAAATTTATCATAAAAATAATATTAAGGTACCAGGTATTCTAGGTAAGTTAGGTATGATCAAGCCATTTTTGACATACCAGTGAAAAGCATGCATTGATGCAAACCATCGTGTTACTGAAATAATTAGTTCTACAATTTTGTTTATCTTATTTCCTGATCATTTTAAACAGGTACAATAAATACCACACCTGTGTGGAGTACTGTAAGAAGAGGTGGGGGATCCAGAAGTTTGAGCCCGCCCCCATCATGATAAAAAAGAGAGACAGGATGTTACGGCGCTACCCACTCCCTGGGGGGTGGGAGGAAGTAGCTGACCCTCTGACGTAAGATGTCATCTCTTGTTGTAAAACTCTTTTTTAAACCTTTTTTTTAAGTTTCATGATAAAATTAAAAGGATATTACAAATTACACAAAATAGATATAAGATGATACCTGCCTCTCTATTTACTATGGTATAAGTATGGATACACAAGGTAAAAGTCATTATTAAAGCAAATTATATATTCTCACTGAATGTAGTTTTACTTTTTAAGTCTATATATATTGACAAGCCATATGGATTGTTAACCCCAGAAGTTTAAAATTACTTATCAATATAGTGTCTCCAGACGGTGTTTGAGATAAAGATAGAATTATGCAGTCCTTAGTTTGAGAAAAAACTAATTACTATTTTGGTAAATTCTGATTACAAGATCACAATGACTACAACTACCCTACTAACGCCATACAGTGAATCCAGTGTTTGACGGAATTTTACAGTTGTTATTTCCCTTTTACCAGGAATCGTTACTATTATTGGAATACGATCACAGACCAGGTGAGCTGGCTGTCACCTGTCCACCCCCGCGCCCACATCACAATCTCCGCACAGAGGATTCAGGGTGAGGGACTACAGTATACAAATTACTGTTCTGTCATACGCTAAAATTTCGTGTAAAAGAGAGTTACTCTGAAGAAATTTGAAGTTGTTGATATGGTGTAAATGTTGTTTACAGATCTCCTTGGTGACCAGCATCTGGCAAATAAAGAGGCCGAGGCGAGTGATGAAGAGATGGAGACCAAGGGCTCGGAGGAGAGTGATGTGGTATGTGAAATAGAGCTAGTATTATACTGTATACGCAGATTTTTACCGAGGATTTAATTATGGCATTATTAGTGAGGGTGGTGAGATCGCTAAAATTGAATATCGCTAAAAATAAATTGCGTTTTATTTGTAATAGCTTCTTTAGTGAGCATTTTAAAATCGCTTAAATTAAATCATGCTAAAAATAAAATACCAGTTTTTAAGAATAATTTGTTAAATTTGGGTCTCGCTAACATTTCCACTTAAAAAGTAGTCTTAATTATAGCTAATAAAGACAGCACAATTACAAAGAAGCAAAATTGCCTTTCAGTATTTATAGTGTTACAAATTTGGATTTTCTTTAAAAGAACAAAAAGGTCTGTGATGTTCATGTATAAAACAGAAAATTTTGTTTATAATAACAAACTTTTTTTTACAAGTCCTTGAGGTTTCACACAATTTGATGTAATTTTTCCTGTTGTTCAGTAGCATACATCTATTAATAATGCCCACCTCTACACTGATGTATGTAAGATTTTGTTATCCTATATATACCTCTCCACGTTTCTTCGTTACAGAGTTCCTCCTCTTCCTCTAGCTCCTCAGACTCCGAGGACGAGTACGAAAAACGTCGCCGAGACCGCGGGCGTCGTCACAATGACAACCGACGCAGGGGAGGTAAACGACAGAAGGATGAGCTAGATCCCATGGATCCTGCATCCTACTCCGAGGTCCCAAGGTCAATATTAGCAAAATCTCAAAATCTCCTCATATTGTCAAATGAGAACTTGACAGACTAGACTCTTTTGACTTGTCATTTTTCATACAATAAAATTAAATTTCACTACTGTTATTTTATATGACAGGGGGACATGGTCAACAGGTCTGGCATCACGCGGGGAGGCGAAGACAGGGGTCGATACCACTGCCTCAGGCCCCCTGTTCCAGCAGCGCCCCTACCCCAGCCCCGGCGAAATCTTACGCAGGAATCGGGAACAGCCTTAACCACGTGTTGTCATCATTCTACGTATCATCATCATTATCATCGTCATTGTGTTTGTATAAAATTGTCATCACAAGATTCACAACAGACTACATGTTGCAAAATCTATTTTGTTTTATTCATTGATGTCTTAGAAAAATACAAAATGTATCAATATTATTGTGTCTTCTTTGAATAGCAATAGTTTGCACAATACACTATAAAGGTACACTGTTTGTATTTTGACTCAAAGTTTTATGTTGCCCTCTCCCCCCTCCAATATTGACAATCTTAAAAAAATTCAAGTTTCTACATGTACCGGTAAGTTAAAATAAGGAATGTAAAACCATTTCCACATTTATTATAAAAGCTACAAAATTTCCAACTTGAGAAAAATTATCAAAGGGACTTAAATGGTTCCATTGCTGTTGGAATTACAGTGTATAAAGAAACACTGATGCTGTCTTAAACACAGAGGAGAAGACTTCAGATTGCTGTTGCATTCACGTTTTAACAACAGACGATTGATTCTAGATCATTGTTAATTCATCAGCTTCATTTGTTATTATTATGGGTAGATTAGTAACTGTGTTCACCCCTACAATGTGGTACATGTCATCTTTAGTGGGTTACTATTTATAACTAGGGTACTGCATCCCCTTTGTATAGAGCATCTACAGAGCATCAGTCACAATTCTAAGACTCGAGAATTAGTATGCATTGAACTTTGAAGAGATTTATGCTTTCAGATGTAAAAATATATGTCAGACAGTAGATGTCAAATGCATTATAATTCAAGAACGAGGTGACCTGTCTATCTATAAAAAGGCTAGCACTGCAGGTTGGTGCTACTTCGTGCTAGTGTTTATATTCCTCACGGGCTTAGCGAACGGCTTCCACTCTGTAATACTCTTTGCCTCTCGTGAGTTCAGTGGTCTATCTTCCTTTGTTTTGACTGCTGTTTTATCCTTTCCCTTCCTAAGAGTTTTTACACCTCTTTTTGTCCTCATTATTTTCCCCTTTTTAGATACAACTTTCTTTTTCGTTATTTTAGTTTTTGTGACGGGTTTATTATTTATTTTATTATTCGGAGATTTTTTTGCTGTTGTGAGCGGTTTTCTCCGCGGTTTTGGCTTTTCTTCTTCCTCTTCCTCATACCCTGATCTGCAGCACGTGCAACATCCTCTTCCTTCCGCCTCGCTTTCTTCATCATTGACACGATTTCGAATACTGCAGAGTACAAAATATTTACAAAGTAATGAAAGTATGACATAAAAATACTGAAGGAGACTCAAATATCAAACATAATGAAATAAATTTTGAAATGATTTCCGATGATACTTTTATTAATTAATGGATGTTCACCTAAGCTTACTAGCCTAGTATTTATTGTTGGTGCTGGATTATGTGTTAATATATGACTTTTACTTACCAACAAAATCTGCAACAGAGAATCAACAGGAGCAGAATGATCACTATAGCGATGAACCCCAACAACGATAGAACCAGTAGGAACCAGACTGGAATAAAATAATTTATTTTCTTTTTTATCTCTCGATTATGCCAAACGTTGTGCTACATATACATATAGATACTCAGAAGGTGATATATGCCTGAGTTTGAACTCGATCTCTCATTGACAATATTATATTTATTTGTCGTTGGAAACTGATGGAATTTCACTGGGCACTAAATGTGCTCCTTTATTAGCCGATCTTTCTTTATAAAAATATTTATTTAAAAACTTCTGTATGAGAAAAAGAACACTTGTCGCCCTTCTACTCTACATTTAGATATATTGCCGAGGTTTTATAAAATTACAATACTAGTTTGTATTTATAACCATTCATTGCGTCGACTCGGTATATTCAGTATCTCGGTGAACTTGAAATTAAAGACTCTACAAAGTCTGCCGCGCCTGTTTCATATAGATGTAGATGTTTTATTGACTAGAGAATACTGATGATAATTTAAAAGATCAATCAACAACTGAATTGCATGACAAACGAGATGGCTTCGGATATCCTGTTGTCAACGTTTGTCAAGAATCTAATTTTGACTTGCCTTTATAAAAATATAATTTTGAAAAATTGAGTTCAAGCTACAGTCGTTGAGGTAAAGTAAAAAGAAACTCAGGTATTAAATCTACTATCTTTAGACTATAGTAAAAGAAAAGCCACATAAACCTACCGTTGTTAAAGTAGGATGAACTGCATTCCGGAACAGACCCAGAGACCGGTAGCCAAACTCCAGTGGCGTCACAGACGGAGTTAGGACTTCCGGACATAACATAATCATTGTTACAGATATACTGTATGACGTCACCAGCGGCATAGGACACCTTAGCACCGACGTAATATCCATTTGATATTGCTGTAGGAACGGGACATACTGACATTGTGGAAGAGCTAGTACTTAATGGTAGCGAAAGTCGATAAAATCTTTGTTTACTTTATATGTACACAGAGACACTGTTGTTCCAGTTTAGGGTATTTAACTAATATTGACTAATTAAACTACCTAAATAAGTGTCCTAAGGTTTTCTTCTGTTCGTTTATTGACTTTTGTGGACGTATAATTTTAAAAACTTTTTAATTGTTAGAAAACAAAATTTATGAGGGGTGAGATAAAAATGCAATCCCTGCCAAAAATCTAGACAATACAAAGCCGGCTTCCATCCCTAGAAACTAAATGAAATGGATTCAAATCTGATAAAAAAAATTATTTTGAATAAGCAAAAAAATGTGTACATTCTAACTGATTTTGGCCCAGGAACGTATAGTTAACATCATTAATGCATAGTTACAGGATCTACAACAAATGAATAGGCGTCGGAACCGGGGGGGGGGGGGGGGGGGCACCGGAGTTGGTACCGGAGTTCGAACCTAACCAACAACCCCCACCCCACGAAAAAGGATTTTCGTGTTTGGGAAATAGACATTTCCTTTTTTTTTTTTTTTTGCTTGTCAGGTTATTTTGGAGGTACAATTTTTTCTTTACAATTAGCCCCCCCCCCCCCCCACCATTTTCAATTTGCTTCCGACGCCAATGATATGATTTATTCATTTACAATGTATGTACATATGATACGTGAAAGAAACATTCTTAAATTGGGACTGACACAACGATTTCAAAAGGGGACCCCAAAAATTTCAAACAAGCGGGAAAAACCTAAACTGTCCAAGTTTCCCCTAGCAAGAGCATGAATAGGGCCATAGGTCACATCACTCACCTGAGCAGGTTGGCTAAGAAAAAGCACAAAGCAATCATGAAAATAAACGTAAAAAAGTTTACATGCCAAACTTGAATGAAACATGTTCTTAACCCCATCTCTTCTTTTACCAAATTGCATTATCGGGAAAATTTATTTTTCTGTCTTTGTCAAAAACTTTCAGATATAAATCAATACTGATATTCTTTCCCAGGCTGATCACTCCGCCCCCCCCCCTTTTTAAAGGCAATACTTTATCCTTGTATCCTAATAAGTTGTTTAAAAAATATTTTGTAAACCTACGTAAATTATTACAAATACTTTTTTTTCCTTTTCATCCCTCCCTTTAAATAATTTCTAGATCCGCGCCTGCTATGTAAAACTTTATCACCAATACTATGACCTCATCCTAACCTCGGGGGTCATAATTTAAACAAACTTGAATCTATACAATGTAAAGAAAGTTTCCTACTAAATTTTCATCTTTTTTGGATGAAAGAATTTTAAAAGATATCACCAAATCTTCATTTTTTCTAAATTATCTCCTCTTGAAAGGGGGTTTGCCCTTTTATTTGAAGAAACTTTCATTAATTGAAGTCCCTTCCCCCAAAGAATGTGTAGTTAATTTGTGGCAAGTTTTGTTGGAATTAACTGGCTTAGTGGTGCTGGAAAAGAAGTCGAAAATGTGAAAAGTTTACCATGTGTTTACAGACAGACATGCAGCTATAGACAGACAGCTATAGCAAATGGACTACTGACAAAAAATGTGACTCAGAAAAGCTCATTTTCGAGAACTTTCAGCTCAGGTGAGCTTAAAAATTTTACTTATTTATTAACCATGTTAACAGTTGTCCAAATGAAATCCTGGATTTTTTCAGTGCTCAGCCTTACAGCAACAACTTAAAAGCGGGGAAGAGGAACCGGGATACTATATGTCAAAATTTGCCAAACAATAAAAAAAAAATACTATACTAACTCGGTGAGCAGTAGCTATAGAGCACCCCCCTCCTCTCCACGTCTCCCATATCATACCCCAGCATTTTATGGGCCTAATTCTGTTGCAATTTGTTTAAAATTTGTGACAACTTGACTGGATTCTTACTTAAGTTAAACAGTTTTTGGCACAAAACCTGTGTGGATCCCCCACCTATACTTAATATGATGTTTAAAAATAAACATGATAAACAGTTGTAAAAAGTGATCGAGACCTAGTACAGGCCTACCTTACATGTGTATTTCATAAAACTTGTGTGGCACAGTACTACTGCGTTACCAAAGGAATTTGATTTTGCTGTGGAATAAGCTTTTCGTTAAAAAATCATTGTAAGTTTTTTAAACTCTTTGTATATTTAGTCGTCCTAATGTAACAATTAGAGATACTCTATCACATTTAGCACGGGTCCAAGGATGGTTACTATGCTAGTAATATAATTTTTATTTTTATATGCTTGATATTTTACAGGTTTTTTGGGGATTTTTTCATTCAGATCTGTTATTAATAAAATGTATTTGATCATGAAAGCCCCCCCCCCCACAAAAACAAACTGTATACAACTGGATTTTCCCGCATCTATTTATAGCTCTTCTAGCCAAAGGTGCGGTGTTGCGATGTGTGTGAACTTTTCAGAATATGGGCCATAACTCAAGAACCCCTCGGCCAATCACTGTCAAATTTGACTCAGGGTATCATTGGCCCAAGGGCTACCATTTATACTAAAACCAGGGTTCGGACCCTAAGTAATTAAGTAAGTAAATTTTAGTAAATAAATTTTATTTAAAGTCGGCATTGTATACATTACATAACAAGAAACATGAGCTCTTAAGGATAAATAACACAAACAAACTTTTTTCAGAAATCAGCATTATTTCTCAAAGATTTACATCTAAATTGACAACCTGAATAAAGTTTACCAAGTATAGAGTGGGAGAATTTTATAAGATTTTGGCATAAAGTTAAAAAATTGTGCAAAATTTTGTATGGAATTATATAGAAGGCAAAATTAAATCTCAAATTTAAGCACCAAGGAAAACCTACGATTTCTTTATATTTCAGGGATTTATTATTTATGTCATTACAAATCAAAATCAGTCAAAAAATATATATCAACCCGCGCATCCATTTTTTGTTTGTGGTAAGTACCCTTAAACCGACTAGCACAGTTAAAATCATTTACAACATAAAATTAACATGCAAAAACACATGTACATAATTATATACACATACATATGGCAGATAAAACGAATTTTAAGAATTAAAAAAAAATGTTAAGAATTTATATAATTTCTTTAGAATTAGTTAGAGAAAAACGACAAACTTGAAAAGCATTATATCCATGATTGCATTACATGCATTAAGAGGAACAAAAATAAATACTGAGTATAAAGTGAGTATTATAAATAAATAAATAAAAGTCATATGACTAATAAAATTAAGCACTACATTTAATCCTTAAAGTCAGATTAAAAAAAGCTAATTGTACTTTTGCATGTGTTTTAATAATAATAAAAAAATGAATAAATAAAAAACGATTGATAAATAAATTTAAAGTTTAGACAATTAAAAATTCACACAGACATAGCTTAACCAAATTGAGAAAAGAGAAGAAAAAAATTAAAAATAGTTAATTTATTTAATCTATGTTCCTCATCAATACACATCCTGTCTTGTGATTGGGTCAGTCCCTACCTACATAGGCAAGATATGCATTGTTGTGAGGGAAAGGAAAAAAAAGCTAGTATTCAAGAGGCCAAATATTGAAAAATATTGGATCTAATTGCTAAAAAAAATCTTCGACTCCAGAAACACCAGGCAGATTTTCACCAAACTTACGATATATACAAGGGTCAGGATATGATGAAGATTAAAAATTGTTCAAGGCATGACCCTGGGGGCAAAGGGCGTTGTCTGAACGTCACTTCATTGTTAATAAAACGTTAAATTGATATTTTGCTTACTATATATACATCATAAGACAAGGTTCATCAAATCTTGTCAGTTGATGCATCTTAGAACTTCACACAATTTTAACTCAAAAGTAGGTCACCATAACCTACTTTATAAATTTTTCGGGCTTTCGTTTTCAAATTGATTCGGAGGCATATTTTGGACACTTAAGACCTATGATCATCAAACTTCGTCAGTTAATGCATTTAGGGGGTCCTCGAACAAGTTCAACTTAAAAGTCTGTCGCCTTGACCTACTTTTACAATTTTTGGCTGATGCATCTTTGGGCCTTAAAACATATTTATGAAAAAGTAAGCCACTGTGACCTACTTTTGAATTTTGTAGGTATTTGTTTTCAAATTGTTTAAAAGGCATGTTTCGACTTCTTTCAGACCTATGATCATCAAACTTTGTCAGTTGATGCATCTTGGGTCTTTGGAAATTCTCGACCAAAAAGTAGCTCACGGTGACCTACTGTTGACATTTTATGGCTATATTTAAATATCTTAGGTACTTATTTCCTTCGAATTAGTTAACTTTTTCAGTTGCATTTTGTGTCTTCGGAAAATGTCAATATTCAAGTATCCCGGGTAGTAATTTATCATTGGCCTAGAATTGTCAAACTTTGACAGTTGAGGCATCTGTGGTTTTCTGAGAATTTTGAATGTCACAATGACCTTCTTTCAATTATCTCAGGTACTTATTGGTTTAGAATCATCATGCAAACATTGTCAGTTGATGCATCTTGGGTTTTCGGAGAACGTCATTTGAAAGTAGGTCAGGATGACCTACTTGTAACATTTTATGGCTTTATTTAAGAATAAGGGGTACTTAATGGCTTAGAATCGTCAAACTTTGTCAGTTGATGTATCTTGGGTTTTCGAAGAATGTTGACGGAGAATGTAGATGACAGTGACCTACTTTTGAATATCTCAGGTACTTTCTGGCTTAGAATCATCAATCTTTGTCAATGAATGCATCTTGAGTCCTCAGAAAATTTCAAATCAAAAAGTAGGTCACCATGACCTACTTATGGTATTTTATAGCTTTGAGTAAGTTCTAATATTCTTGGGACAACCCTTAATGTCTCGACTATTTGTGTTCACAATAGAGTTTATATAGACTCAGACGCAAGTAGTGAACATTTTCAAAAGAAATCAATCTAGAACATTAAGGATGAAATTAGTGTTGGGATAAGAAGACTGATATAAATATACCAATGGCTTAGAAAGAAAGACATGTTGGGGAAAACGTCAGTAGGAAAGGTAAAAAAAATATTTAAAAACACATTTTTTTGTTTAGTTTCGAAATTTCCTTATTTGAATAAGTTCAGGTTTGTTAAATACGACACATTATCTTACCTCGATAGACATTGTGCTCCTTACATCTAGAGTAATGATTATCTTGAAAAATAAAATGAAATCACAGGAAACATTATAAGATGAAAATATATAATTGTTATAAAAATAGTTTTCTTTCAGTGCTAGAGATTATGGGACTGAAAACAGTCTAAATGTAATTTCTACAGACAAAATGAAGCAAACGAATGTTTCCAAGACACACTTATAAATAGTTGTAAAAATGTCATGTAATACGTACAATCTCCTTGTTGCGGATAATGTATGTGTGCTTGATGACAGTCACACTCAGGTAAATGCAGATCTAAAGAGGTTAATTTTTAACATAACATTTCTTAATTACAGAAACCTAACGATCTTATCAACAAACATCGCCGTTAACCCGTAAAACACACACCATAATGCTACAAAGGATAGAATCATTAGCACGATGTTCGATTTAAGTATTATGTATTTTGATTCGATTATTTTTCTTTTTGTCTACTCAGTATCAAGATCAGCCTGAGTTTTTAATGTACATACATGGTTTTTAATAAACAAAGTTACGTACTTGCTATTGCCCGAACTAAAGTGTCAAGACATTGATGATTGTGTCGTCGTAGGTAATCCAAGTTTTCAAACACTGTTGATATTCAAGAATTATCAAAATATTATTCCACAGTAAGTTTTTACTCCTGTGCAAAGGCTTTCATAATTGCAAAAATGAAACAGTAAGTGTTTCTAAACTTATTATTGATCAAACAGTAAAAGTTTTAGTACGTTGGTCAAAAAGTCTACATATATATGCTATTTTATGGTTCTCAAATTAAAATTTTAATTCAAACTAATAAAATGAAGGACTTAGTTAATCGATATTATTATACCGGTATAATGTATCTATAGTCCTGAATAGGAAAAGTTGACTTATAAGCCTTTATCTAATTTATTATCTACTCAATTAGAATTAAAAAAATGAAAACATAGAAGTTCACTTGTAATCTAGATTTTTAAAAAGCCTTTATGAAATAAAAGTGAATGAATAAAATGTCATCATGATGTCGTGTTCTATACCATTTATTAGATACCTGTGTTTGGACTCTTTATGGATTCTTCAGTTGTATAATATTGTTTTATATTCACCAGAAAAATACAACCCATTGATTTGATTCGGTCAATATTATTCACTTTCTGGTGAACCACAATCACCAACTGTTTGTATGGTATTAGTCAACAAGAATATTTTTTTTTTAAAAATACAATAAATAATAGAGGCAGACATTTGACTGGTCAGTTTACTAAAAATAGTATATGAATTACTTGAGTAAGGTGTATTACAGTTTTCTCTTTCTGCATTGTTGAAAATATCTGTAAAAAATAAATAACAAACCATGAGGACATGGATGACGTAAATATGTATATCAATATACTTATGCGTTTTTAAACCAAATTGTACAAAGGTATTGTACGGTTATATACATTGTTTTTCGTTGGGATCCAATTTTGCAGTTTTGACATTATTGTTCGTATGTTAAAACCCGACAGCTAAACTTTCCTTTTTTATCAATAAAATTTGTATTTCGTTTACAGTAAAATTTATTTTGTTATCTGGCCTGGCCATAAAACAACCCGTATTTGTGTTAAACGAAAAATGATAGAACACAGTATGCATGTCCATACGTGATCTGGTCTTAAACACTACAAAGAAAAAAAAAATAAAATATTTCATATTTTTTCTTCAAGAGCTGATTGTTATAAAGAAAATGTCCATACATCTCATTGTAAGATCAATCTGTAATCAAAACTTTATCTTCGCTATCAGTATTTTGAGTAATCTTACATTGTGTTTTTTTTTTGAAAATACATAGTATACCTTGAGCACTTCTTGGTGGAATAAATGATTTTTGAAGTGATTTTAAGATAACAAATGCCACAAACCTCTGTAATGGTGATCATTATGGTAGCAGGTGTCATGACCCCGTACAACCCTGGAAGATCGTGCTTGCTGTGAGACTTCTGAATGTGAAGATGCGCCGTCAGCTGCAGATTCAGCAACCCCTAGTGAAGGAATCTCCGTTACAGTGTATTATACCCAAAAACTACAATATTTAGCTAAAAGGGGTTGTAAACTATTAGTGCATGTACTATTTTATGGTATCAATTATTTTTCAAGAGACAAAATAGCTTTTAAATAACAAAAAAAAAAAAATTAAAATGAATTTTGAAAAAAAAAAACGGATGAAAAGTAGTGGCTACAATCACTATAATTATAATTATTGTATTTATTACAGGAAAGGTTTTGTTTTAAGTTGCAAGAACTTGTTACCAATCCCTTTGTATGAATCATGCAATAAAATATGTTCAAATGAAGTAGTCACTCCCGCATAAAGACCAGTTAAAAAACTCTTATTTATGATATCGTATATGTGTGTTTCATTATTAGAAGTTGATCACTTATCATATTTCAGCCAGAGGGATACTTTATGTGATAAATGCATCAGGAAACACTTATATGTCAGCAATTTGTCCTTGATGCTAATATGTCTCAAATTGCAACCAGAATTTATTTTATGTTTGATTGTTTTTGTTATATATCGCTCCTCTCGAGAATGTTTCATTCATATTAACTTTAATAATTAGTTTATGGTTTACACTTTCTTTGTATCCTTCACGTGTTTAAAGTTTCTGATTTTGAAAACAACAGAACTGCTATGTTACCTTGGACCTCCTGTGAGGTGTTAACATAAATACACTTTGTTTTAATGCACGTTCAAAGATGATATATAGAATCTTTTCGAATAGCAGTGCAACAGATACCTCTTGATAGTAGTTACTGTATAGTATGTAAAAAGACTTAATGACAACTAATCAAGCATTCTTCTTTTTTTTAGTAATTAAGAAAAGAAAATATTTATAATGATGACTTATTCACTTATTTGTGTGAAAGGTATGCAAAAACTTACCAGCAAAGCAAAGAATTATAAGTATCAACATTTCAAATCTCTCAGGTGTTCGCACCACGTCACAAAAATGCCAAATCTGAAAAAAAATAGTTATTGATCTCTCTTTGGGTAATTTTCTTGCATTAACTTACAATATAAAATTAAAAAAAATAAGTATACCTCTTTCTCATTTTGAAAGGTTTTTTTTACTATAATCATAAAAAAAATTAAGTCGTTTCAGCAATAAACTAATTTTTTTTTAAATTTCATATTTCATATTTCAGATTATTGATTATTGTTTCATAAATTATGAAGACTCAAACAATAACATTGTGCATAAATGAGGGCTAGCTTGTTCTTATATTTACATTATTGTTTATTTATCAATTTCATCTCAAAATACCACCATTTCAAAGTTTTTACAAACCAAGACAAATTTTTAATCCAACTACAACTAATGACATAATTGAGGGTTTGCATTATAAAATTTAATATTTAGCAAGGAAATCAATGCATGATAATTATTTCTCAACGAACTCTGTGTATTCCATTGTAACTTCTCTCACTCCGTATGAAATGAAAGTATGTCAAGGTTCTAGATAATAAAATCTTTGCATATAACTTAATCCACACAGCTTACGGAATAAAAGTTTCATTTGTTAATATATTTATATTAAAATCGGAATTGGAAATCGCATGTATACTATTAAGTAAATTATTTAAGGGATGATAATATTTAAAAAAAGTACGTAAGTACAACTATTATATTAAATTCCTTAATTATTTGAATAATAATATTTTAAAAAATTATTATATATTTATATATATATTTTAAATTTTTAATTACATGTACATATAGTTTATAACAAAATATATAATTAATCTGCATTTCGTATGGTGTTAGGTAAAGGATATACTAAGCAATCACGTATGCATAATCCATAAAAAAAATCATTCTTTAATCAATCATGAAATTAATATCAACATAAGAAGAGACCATACTCACTGACTGGTAACTCTACAAATGCGCCTTGAACTACAGATAAGACATGCAATATATCTGACAAACACACAACCTTTCTGCATATCCTTATAAGTTTAACGCGTTGGAGTAAAGACCTTGTGAAAATTATGCTGTAAAGATATGAATTTTGCTATTGTGTGAAAAAAGTTTTTGAATACGTCTCAAATATAGTCCGTACATTTCAAACAAATTATGATAATTCTCATGTGAATTCCTTTTTTTGTATAAAGCATTTTTAAGCAAAATTAAAAATCAGATAGATTACCGACCACAAGTATCAATCTTGTTAAATGAGTTTGTTTGCCTGTGTTAATTGAATATATAAAACCAACAACGTTCAGATGGACAATTTAATGGGTATATTTTTTTCATCGATATAAATGTACCAGTATTAATTTTGCAAAACTATCGAAAAATACACAGAAAAATAACAACATATTCAAAGTTTGTTGCAGAACTGTTTTTATCTGGTTGAGAAATTTCGGACAGACATAGATCAAAGTATTATCAAAACCTTCGATTTACGGCGAGGCGTGTTTCGGCTATTATTTATATAAAGTGCATATTAGGTGTAAAATACATGATTAATTGATAGATACCATATTTTTCTCGGGGGGAGTGGGGAAGCCTTAAACACAAAAAATGAAAGACAAAGCGTGCGACAAAAAGGCGTCGCCATAAAGTGCAAGATCTGAACTAAGGAAAAGTATAGCCCTGTTCATTTTTAAAACCTTTTCAAGACGGATATGGAAATTCCACGAACAGTTCTGACAATATCAAAGTCCAAAAAACAATAAATCAATTTAAACAGAGAAACAGGACCATCAGAATTTTTCAGGTTTGGAGGGTACTGTTCATCACCAAAGTGTTTTGAAAGATTTTAAATTTTTAGCTTCACGTAATTTTTTTAAAATTTTGATGTAAAAGTCCTAGCCAATTTATGTGAAAAGGACTAATTTTGTAGGGAAACTATTGTTACGCTGTATACAATCAGTTTAATCTTATGATGAAGTCTTTGTTCTCAAGTTAATACATGTTGTAAATGTTTTTATATCACTCATAGTTTTCAGAAGAAAAAATTTTTTTTTTATTTTCTGTCAAACAGAGCTGTGATTTAAAAATTTGTTTTACCTACAGACCCTGAGACGTGCTACTACCCCAAAAAAGCGTTTGACTTTCGTGCGCTTTCCGTTTCGTGCAAACCGTGAAGCGTTTCGTGTAAACTGTGCAGCGTTTCGTGCAAACCGTGTAGCGTTTCGTGTAAACCATGCAGCGTTTCGTGTAAGCTCCAAAGAATTTCGTGCAAACCGTGCAGCGAGCGTGCGAGTAGCGTGTGAAAAACGTGCGACTTTCGTGTAAGAACCGTGTTAAGAAACGTGCGACTTTCGTGCAAGAATCGTGCAAGATTCATTCGGAAGTCATTTTATTTCGAATATGGCTATAGATGGGTCAGGATGTTAATTTGTATTAGTATTTAATTATTGAATTATTTATGCTTGTGATATTTTTGGAGTAAAAAAAACGGATCAACAAAATAAAATTACATGGTAATGTATAACATATATTTTAATATTTGATTTCTTTTCCTTCCATAGGAAATGTGTACAAATTAATAAACTATGTACAACAATTTTAAGGGCATTGAATTCAATATAGGATCCACGCGATCATGGCTTCTTAAATATTTTTTCTCAAAGAAAGAAAGAAATACCGGTATTTTTTTTTTAATTTTTAACGCAAAAATATATCAGGACTCCGCTTTTCTCATTTACGTGAAAGAAAATTTTAAAACAACGTGTCATTTAATATATTTTAATACATTTAAAACTTGTTGCTCATTTTTGTCAAATAAATGGATGTTAATTTTAATTCACATGCACTGACAACCACGTGTTTAGAAAAGGGATCGGGGGGGGGGGGGGGTTAAATAAAATTACTAGTACAGTCTTTCGTTTTTTGTTGTAATTTTCAATCTTATGTTAGTTAAACTAAATGTTTAATTTTATATTCTTTTTTAAATCCTTTGTTTAATGTGTGCGCAGATACATCCTTTAAAAAAATTTTGGAATCTTCTTTCTGCCTTTGAACTGTGATCAAGGTCATGTAAACAACAACGATCACGGGCTCCGAGTGCATGGCACCTGAAAACCTGTTTTCCTATATGTACATGTTGAGTTCACGGCATAATGACACCTGAAAATTACGACTGGGTTTTATTGTTTTGAAATAAAATAGTTATATAAATATTTAATAGTTACAACTTATTTATAAGCGGATTTCATCTTTTATTTGTAAATCCGAATTTATAGCCGTAAACAGTAAAATAAACAGAACTGATTTGGTAGTCTTTTCATGAATATCATGTAAGAAAAGCTTAGGAGTAAATCATGAATAATTGTATATTATTTGTTTCATAAATCACGCACTTTTTATTTCATCTAAGATATTTCAGTTTTCTTGTAAAATACCTGAATGCCGGTGTAAAGATCGATCTATATTGTATGTAAAATGCATAGTCAAATGCCGCGACTATTAATAAATGTACACATATATACATACGTTTAGTCCTGTTTTGAAATGAAGGATTTTACAGTATAATGGGTATACTGATGTTATTTGATAAGCTCCATGTAAAAAGAGAAAGAGAATAGAATAGATTAATAGATCACTTTACACACACCCCCTTTACCGGTTTCCCTCCTATTATTTATGCTTGCGTAAAATAAAAAAAAAATCTGTAAAAATGTATCAATAATCGTTAGTAGAGTATGTAGGCAAATTTTATTGATAATTTAAAATCAAAATCACAAAAAATAATCCGCCTACGGAAATCAAACACAATATAATCAATATTATTAAAAATCAATGAGTTTATATTCCTGCGGTAAGAAATCGAATTTGTATTTAATTTATTAAATCAATTTATTAAACTACACTCGTAAAAATATTACATTGAAATGAATGACTAATACATGTATATAGAAGTTGTATTTTATAAAACAGTCAATCATGATATCGGCATTTCGTTTTTAAACAGTTGGATAAATAAATAAATAAATTCGAATTGACAATTATTTATCAATTAATTACAACTGACAGAGTATTAAATGTTTCTATCGGTTTATATAATACGAGTGTACTAAATTTAATTTAAACAGCTGCTTAATGTGGCTTTGAGAAAGATTTTCATTGAATTAATGATAAAGCGGTAAAAATGCCTGAGATATTCCGAGTAGAAAAATCCAAACCGAGGCCAAAACGTGCGAGAATCGTGCACAATCGTGTGAGAAACGTGTACAAAGCGTTTCGTGCAGCCTTTCGTGCAAACCGTTTCGTGTAAACCGTGTAGCGTTTCGTGCAAACCGTTTAGCGTTTCGTGTAAACCGTGCAGCGTTTCGTGCAAACCGTGTAGTGTTCGTGTACCGTTCGTGCAGCGAGCGTGTGGGGTAGTAGCACGTCTCAGGGTCTGTAGTTGGCTTTTAGGTAAAATTTAATAATTGATAGTGACAGGAATGTGAAAAAATGGTACTTTTTTAATGGCCTTAGATGTAAGAAAAATGAGTCCAAAATGCTGATTTTCGTTTCGGACGGGGGGCCTTCGCCCCCCTGGGCCCCCTACCAGGGCTCTGCCCTGGACCCGCTGGGGGCCTAAGGTGGCCCCGCGGCCCCCAGGCCCCTCGCCAATACTGGTTTCCTGCTATTCCATCTATTTTTCCTTCTATTGAAAATCTTATTGAAACCACTGACCCCACCCTCGTTGCTACTTTCGTGCGACTGTAATGGGCAATATTTTCTTTAAAGAAAAAAAGAATTGTGCTTGTTTATTAATTAATTTCCATAGAGTCATGTAATGATTATGATATAAAGTCTTATCTCGATTTCAACGAAACTAAGAAATTAATATAGAGATATGCGGGGTATTTTGATACATGTATCAGAGTTGCAGATTTCAACGCAAATTGTGACTTATTTATTTCATATCCTGAATTCAATAGTCAGTGCAGGGGCGTAGCAACAGGGGGGGCCAGGGGGGAGGGGCTTGCCCCCACTTTTTTTCCCAACCTTACTTATACTATAGGAAATGTTTATAGAAAGCCTGGTTGGCCCCCCCACTTTTACCGAAAATGTAGTATTAGAATTGGTACTGAAAGTAGTTTACACTGAGAAAAAGTTTACCTACCCCCCCCTCCCACGAAAAATAGGATTTTCGACTTTGGGCATTTTTTTCCTTTTTTTTTTATTTTTTTTTTTATTTTTTTTTTGCTTGTAAACTTTTTCAGGTAAGTAAAAAAAAAGTTTCTCTGGCTGCCCCCCCCCCCCCACCCACTTTCAAAAACGATGCTACGCGCCTGCAGTGATATATATTTCACACTCATTAAAGTTTTTAAAGATTTTAAACATTTTCATAACTTTTGGAAATAACACCCATTATATAAATATTGCATGTAGTTGAGTGTAACATTGAAAAATTTCACCCCAAGAAAACCATTGTCAACCGAGGCGCATTTCACCCCAAGAAAAACATTGTCAACCAAGGCGCAATGGTTTTCGAGGGGTGAAAATTTTCAAAGTTACACTTAACTACATGCTATATTTATTATATTATACTAAATGTTTTATACAAATACATATAACAGTGAACCGTGCGTGCATAAATTCTGTGCAGTCGCTATTTTTTGGAATATCACCCGTCAGGAAATTTTATTTTGAATTTGAAATGGTCATGAAATTTCTTAATTTTCAATGTAAACACTTCAGGAAAGCTTAAATTTTAAGAGAATGAAAAGGAAAAGATAGTTGTTAGCATATTTTATTAATTATACATCTTTTAAATTAAGTGACTAAAAAGTGATGCCTGTTACATTGACATTCAATTTCTTCCATTTTTGTTTATTTACAGACTTTTTCACAGTCACAATCATGTTTTCACAAAGCAAATTTCTTTCTCAAACAATAAACTAAAAATTTTAAAGGAAAGAAATTGCCATTTTGTTTATTTGCTGGTTTAAAAAAAGTGATGGATATTACTGATAAAGAGGACAATATTTTTAATTTTTGTTTCACATAGCACAAAGATGCAAGACAAAAATTAAATAATATTTATTAGGTCTTTAATTAATTTTCTTATTCTCTATACATAGTTGAAATAATAAATATTATGCATTAATCAGAACTTTGTATGTTTGGAAATTACTCTTGACACTTTGACAATTATCATCTTTTGTGATGTCTATTACTTGCATACTTTGACAATTTTCAATTTGCTGTCTTGTATATATATATTAATAAATGCTTTAATAAAGGAAAATATAAAATATCAGTAAAGGGCAAATAAACAAAAGCAAACAAATGTTCAACTGTTTTTATTTTAATTCTTTAAGATCAATTAAATGTTCCATTTTTTTTTATTTCTTCCTTCATCACAAACCTGAAATATAAAAAAAGGTTCAAATTGTAAACTTTAATGATCAATTCAAGGGGATTAAAAGGAAATATGTGATTTATTCTATTTTATGATGTATATTTACACACAATTTAGTAAACTTATTTTCACTTACCATTAAACAGATAGTAAATCCTAGACCCATGAATTTGAACATCTGGTGGGTCAATGGTCCGTTTGATATCTTCAAGTAAAACACTGTGTGGAATGTCTCCTTCTGTCCACAAATTCTTTCCCTTTTTAGAGAAGAAAAGAACGAAGGGCCATTCTTGAACCTAAATTGTGAAAATGTTGATTAATACGTGTTTACATGATATATGAAATGAATTGCAAACTGCAACAATCTACAATTCAGCACTTTTAAAAAAAATTGATCTTTAATATTTTACCACTCTGTAAATTATTTGTTTATGTGTTACATTTTTCAATATGGACCTTTTGCATGCAAAACAACAAAACAATAAAATATGTAGAATAAAACATCAACAAAAAAACAGCTTTGAACAAAAAAAGAATGGTAGTATCAATTTTTTTTTTAAGGTCAAAAGAATTAAATAAAGCTAACAAGTTTCAGAACAGAAATGGACTTATTTACCACAGCAGGCAAAGAACTTAAACCATGGTCAATCAAAACATATTGTCCAGGATTGTAACTAGAAGAAATATGATTTCAAATTCATATCACAGATGATATTAATATGATTCTGAGCAATGCCCATTTAAAGCAAGTATGACAGTATTTAAACAAGATTATTTTAGTACCTTTTCTTCAATTTATTCTCCTGGTAAGGGAGATCAGGTTCCTCAACAACAGGGAGGGTAGGTTCCTTAACATCAGGGAGGGTAGGTTCCTTAACATCAGGGAGGACAGGTTCCTTAACATCAGGGAGATCAGATTCCTCAACAACAGGGAGGGTAGGTTCCTCAACAACAGGGAGGGTAGGTTCCTCAACAACAGGGAGGTTAGGTTCCTCAACAACAGGGAGGTTAGGTTCCTCAACAACAGGGAGGGTAGGTTCCTCAACAACAGGGAGGGTAGGTTCCTCAACATCAGGGAGGGCAGGTTCCTCAACAACAGGGAGGTTAGGTTCCTTGAAAACTTCAGGCATACATTCCTTATCGTTGTGTTCCTGGTCAGGGAGGATACGTTCCTCAACATCAGGCACATGTTCCTGATCCATGTGTTCCTGGTCAGGGAGGACAGGTTCCTCAACATCAGGCATATGTTCCTGATCCATGTGTTCCTCAATAGGTCGGACAGGTTCCTCAACATCAGGGAGGACAGGTTCCTCAATATCAGGGAGGACAGGTTCCTCAGCATCAGGAATATGTCCCTGATCCATGTGTTCCTGGTCAGGGAGGACAGGTTCCTCAACATCAGGGAGGGCAGGTTCCTCAACATCAGGGAGGGCAGGTTCCTCAACATCAGGGAGGGCAGGTTCCTCAGTATCAGGAATATGTTTCTGATCCATGTGTTCCTTATGAGGGTAGACAGGTTCCTCATCATATGGAATATGTTCCTGATCCATGTGTTCCTGGTCAGGGAGGACAGGTTTCTCAACATAAGGAGGGACGGGTTCATCAACAGTCATATGTTCTTGATCCATGTGTTCCTGAACAGGGAGGACAGGTTCGTCAACATCAAGAAGGACAGCTCCCTCAAAATAAGGCATATGTTCAGACAGTTCCTGATCCTTGTGTTCCTGGGCAGCAAGGAGAGGAATATATTCCTGTATAGCCAGAGGGGTAGGTTCATTCATGAAGACAGGAGATATAGAGCCCTCATCCTGAAAACAAGACAAAACATTGCACATCAAAATTGAATATTAAGCTACTTTTCTTGGCAATACAAGAAACTATGTTTTTAAATAAGCAAATGAGTTTGAAACTGGCCAACTTAACACCTCTAATGTCAGCAAATCAGCTGGAAATGTACCTTGTCAAGAGCAGCAATTATGGCTGAAAGTCCCGAGATATTTTGCAAAATATCCTCCTCACTGTCATGTACATAATCACTACAAAATAAATCCAGTTTGTAGTTAAATCCTTGACACAAGAGCTGAAAACTATATGAATAATATTGAAATGAGCAAAGCAGAGGCTGAAAAGTACAAATTTCTCTGCTAAAAGAACTAGCGTACCTGTCTTGTTGCATCAGAGCCCTACTGATGGGACTTGACTTGACTGAAAAATTGTCCGAAACATCAGAATCTAAGGTAAATACAAGATACATGTATGAAACACTCAGTTTATAGTTCAATTGTATAGCTAAGAAAAGTCAATATGTAAATTGCTAACTCACCTTCTACAAAGCATTCTTCACTTTCTGAACTATTCCTTCTTCTTTCTCGTCTAGTTCTTACTCCTCTACCTCTCCCTCTAGATCTATCTCCTCTTCCTGCCCCTCTAGTCTTTGCTCCTCTATCTCCCCCACTATCAGACATGTCAGAATCTAAGGTAAATACATGATGCATTTATATAACAAACAAGATTGATTTTGTATATGAAAGGAAAGTCAACATGTAAATTCCAAACTCACCTTCTACAAAGGATTCTTCACTTTCTGAACCTCTTCTTGTCCCTTCTTCTCTAGTTCTAGCTACTCTTCCTCCTCTTTTAGTCCTTGCTCCTCTATCTCCCTCATAATCAGAAACATCAGAATCTAAGGTAAATACAAGATTGATCTATGAAAAACTAGGCTTACAGTTGATTATATAGGTTAAAGAAAAGTCAACATTTGAAATCCCAGCTCACCTTCTACAAAGGATTCTTCACTTTCTGAATTTCTTCTTGTCCCCTCTAGTTCTCTACTCTTCTCCTCCCCTGGTCCTTACTCCTCTACCTCTCCCTCTCCTCTCCTCTTCCTGCCCCTCTAGTCTTTGCTCCTCTATCTCCCTCACTATCAGACATGTCAGAATCTAAGGTAAATACAAGATGCATTTATATAACTAGACTAGATTGATTATATATATAAAAGAAAAGTCAACATTTGAATTCCCAGCTCACCTTCTACAAAGGATTCTTCACTTTCTGAATTTCTTCTTCTCCTGCCTCCTCTAGTTCTAGCTACTCTTCCTCCTCCCCTGGTCCTTACTCCTCTACCTCTCCCTCTAGTCCTTACTCCTCTACCTCTCCCTCTAGTCCTTATTCCTCTACCTTCCCCTCTAGTCCTTATTCCTCTACCTCCCCCTCTAGTCCTTGCTCCTCTTTCTCTCCCACGACCTCTGGTTTGACGTGCATCAACTCCGGGAACAGTATGTTTTAAGTCCTGAACTGTCCACTGATCAACAACCTCAGAATTTTCGCATTGAACTGCATCTTCTCCTTCATCACCCACACATACTTTACAAAAACATGACAGATTTCTTGTAAGGAGAGAGTACTTCTCTTCAGTTGATTTAACACACTGTAATTTGCGTGTTCCATGTACAGTTTTGGTTTTGCTTCTATTTGGGCGGTTTCTATTAATGTTTCTAATGAGGAAAAAAGTCCTTTTGTGATGTATATGGTCATTTTTTTCATCTGTGGTTTCAAGCTTCTCCTTACCAAATAGGAAGAAATCCTCTGCATTGTTGATCACAAAATTCATCCCCATCACTGCCCTTCTTGCCCCCGACTTCACTACCGCTCCTGCTCCGTCTGAGGGGCCTTTTCCGTGGCGTGATCCATAAAAGTGCCTTTCCACAGAAAATCCATAATCCTCGTTGCTGTAAGATATATCAGTGAATGGTGTTTTGGATTTATATTGTGCAGCACATCCGTCTGTGAACTGTATTTCTTTTTCAATCACCAAACCTCTGTTTTGCTGTAAATGTTCATTGGCAACAGACACAAAAGTGGCAACTGCATGAGAATCATGCTGGAGATCATCCGACACAAATATTAGGGCCTCCTGTATAACATCATTACAGTTTTCTTTGGGACATCTGTAATATGCAACTGTTGGATGAATGGTAACATTGTTATGTCCCCAGTGGGCACTTTGAACTTCATTTTGGTTCAGACAAGCATAATTCTCAGAAAAATCCATGTTTAGGACAACCCAGTTGGAAGGTACCCTCTTTAACAGCTGTGAAAACTGGTTTTGCTGCCAAGCAGCAACAAATAAATGGACAGCAAGTTTTTCCAACTCTTTGGCAAGATCCAACACAACTTCAGTAGCACTCTTTTCATGGGTCTTAGGTATAATCTGCGTCACTGTTTTTCCATTCCTCACCTTTGTCATCCTTTCCCACTTTATATATTTCACTTTCTTGTTTGTCGCTTCTCGCATGAGTGGTGAAAAGAAAGCAACAATCCCATCAGTGCCACAGGCAACACATTCTCTTTCTATGCATTTTTTTTTATGCCATTTCTCATCTGGTTCTCTTTCACACATTGTCTTTTCCACTGCTTCATACTTGCTGTCTACTTTTACATTACTCTTAAATGTTGCAGCCAGCTGTGATAAGGACTGTATTTTCAGATCAACATTTGTACACATCTCACACAAACATGCATTCCATTTCCTTTTACAAGTGGTTTCTACATTGCCGGGTTTCAACCGAGCAAATGTGGCAAAACTTACTTCATCTGCATTATTTTCCCTAAATTCTCGATAGGATTCTTTCAATGTTCTATTAAGGACCCTTCTCTCTTCAAGGTTAGCTTTTATTCTTTTTGAATCAGGTAGATTTGTTGAAATGTCTCCTTGTCTGAAGAAATTTTCTATGTTTTTTGTAGTCTCAGCTGATGTTTTATCCTTCCTTGTCTTCCTTGTGTGGTTTTCTTCCTGCTTTGAGAGCTTGCTTAAATAAGACTGGCTGATTCCTAAGCATGTACTGGCAAATTTGTTTAAACGGGATGTTTTTAAAAATGCTAACTTTTTGGCAGCTTTTTTTCTTGCTATGGCATTACCTTTGATGCTGTCAAGAATGGTTTGTTTAACTTTAATTTTCTGTGGTGTAAACTTTTTAGCTCTTTTTTCCACAGCTTGAAGCTTAATAGTCAATCTTTTTTTCCTTTGCCTTTCCCTGTCTTTCTCCTTCTTTCTTCTTATTTTCTGTGGGTGTCTTCTTTCTCTGGATTCTTTTTGTTTTATTCTCCAATACTGCCGTTGCTTTTCTCTCTCTTTCCTTGTCAGCACTTTGGAGACTTTCTTTTTAGTTTCCATCCCCTTACCTTTCTGTCGTTCACGGTATCTACAATTTTCAAAACTTTCATTGTTCCCAAAATAAAAAAAAACATGTACGGCAATTATAAGGTTAGACCACTTTGTTTTGTGTGTGTATACCAAGATCAAAGAGAATTCAGCATGATCTGAAAATGCAACATACACACAGACATTTATAGGATAATTATTCAAACTTATTTACACCTCCTTTTTATTTACCTTTGCTGATTCTTTCTATTTTGTTCTCTATTTCTTTCTTTCTGTTCTTCTGTTCTTTGGCGCCAAGCAATTTTTTTTCTAAGCCTTTCTTTTTCTTTGAAGATAGGGTCATTTTTTCTTTGGTCTCTATATCTGATAAGATCCAAATTTTTATTTGTATACATAGAGTATAAATGTGCACTGTCTTAAATTGCATGTAAAATAAATGCATATCACTTATTATAAGGACTGATGTGCTAATTAATATAAATTTCTAAAATCTTATTCTTTTAAGGTGTTTTCACCTTTTGGCTCTCTCAGCTGCAGTAAGTCGACAAGTTCTGCTACTTGTTGATATGATCGCTTCTTTTGGTTTCCGCTTACGAAGCTTATGAAAAGACTCAGACTGTAAGATAAATGTATTCTTATGAAATATTCTCATTACTTTGAAAGTCACTGATTGTTTTTTAAAGTATTTTTATCTAAGAAGATTTCACTTATAATGGAATATTGTATTATGTCAAGCGTAATTTCCAACATGAAAAAATTGTCAGAAAGAAGATTGTTACTTTGTAGACCAATTTTTCTGTGTTTATATTTGTTTTTTAAAAACCCCTCAATTAAAAAAAACAATGCAAACTTTTATGCATAAAATTTCTAACGGCCAAATAACATTTCTTTATTTGGAAATTACTTTTGACTGGATAGTCTTCTCAAAATAATTTCCAAACACTAAGTTGTACTTTGGTCGAATGAAGTTCAAAAATATATTTTTTGACAGTAAATATACACAATAAAAACATATTTTAATGTGTCTTAATGATGTTTGCATATTTTTTTAAGATGAAAAACACAAAAGAAGACTAGAGTATGATGGTAATTACGATTGACCATAGTACTCATGGAGGATATTATCCTTGACATTGCAAAGAAATGCTTTTTGTCAATATAATTGCCGAATATTATGTAATTGTTTTTTAACTACACTAAGATACATAATTTTTTGCATCGGTTTTTGATTTTGATGAACGGTGTTGCCGTGGTTACTAAAAATAGAAATTTCTGTGAAATTCTTTCAAAATGCTACTCCTCCTACAGTTTTGGTCTGATTTCAATATAACTTGGCACAAAAGTAGACTACACTAAGATACATAATTCTGTGCATCGGTTTTTGATTTCGATGAACGGTGTTGCCGTGGTTACTAAAAATAGAAATTTCTTTGAAATTCTTTCAAAATGCTACTCCTCCTACAGTTTTGGTCCAATTTCAGTACTACTTGGCACACAAGTAGACTACACTAAAATACATAATTCTGTGCATCGGTTTTTGATTTCGATGAACGGTGTTGCCGTGGTTACTAAAAATAGAAATTTCTGTGAAATTCTTTCAAAATGCTACTCCTCCTACAGTTTTGGTCCAATTTCATTATAACTTGGCACACAAGTAGACTACACTAAGATACATAATTCTGTGCATCGG